TTTTGATGACTACGTCACACAGCAAATTATTCATAGTACTCTGAAGTATGCAGACTCTGCAAAGGACAGGTTGACGGCATCTTACAACAAATTCTCGAAATGTCCAATGACAACAGAAGAGCTATTCCGATTCATTGGAGCATTGATTTTATTGGGAATTCATGGAGTTCAAAACCATAGGTTTGCTTGGAGCATCACTAAAGCTCAATATATGATTCGTCTGAGCGAATTGCTGTCTTGTGAAAGATTTGAACTCATAGGTACATTTTTGCATCTTGTAACACCAGAAGAGGAAGAATCTTTATCAGGAAGTAAATTGAAGAAAATACTTCCTATTCACAACTATATCAAAGCAAAGTGTTCTGATTTATATCAGCCTTGTCGAAGTCTAAGCATTGATGAGCGTATGGTGAAGAGTAAGGCAAGGACACAATTTCGACAATACATACGCAATAAGCCAACAAAATGGGGCTTCAAATATTGGGTTTTAGCTGATGTCACTGGATACACAGTTGATTTTGATTTGTACATAGGAAAAGGTGGTACTGTATCAAGCAATGGCTTAGCATATGATGTTGTCATGAAACTTCTCCAGCCATATTGGTTTCAAGGTTATGAAGTTTTCTTTGATAACTTCTACACAAGTCCCATATTATTGCAGGACCTTGTCTCTTATGAAGTTGTTGCTACTGGTACTTTGAATGTTACCAGAAAAGAAGTACCAAGAGAAGTTTCGGCAATGAAGCAGTATGTAGAGAAGTGTACTCGTGGAGTTGGATACTACTATCGTCAACCTAATTCAAATATTACATATTGCTGTTGGCATGACACGAAAACTGTAACACTTGCCTCGACCGCATATCCAGGACATACAGAAAATACTGTGTCAAGAAGAGTAAAAGATCCTCATACCAACCGATCCATCACTACTGAAGTGCCATGTCCTTTGATGTTGTATCAATACAATCAAAAAATGGGAGGTGTCGACAAAAGTGATCAATTCATTAGCTACCATAAAGTACTGAGAAAAACAGTCTAATACTGGAAAACAGCATTCTACCACCTTGTAGATATAGCCATTGTCAATTCTCATCTGCTGTATAATTGGTGTCGGATTGAAGATGATGAAAAACCAATCTCAGAAAATAGATTTCGCGATTCTTTGGTACTCGAAATAATGCAAAAATATGGGAAGCCTGCAAACATCAACAAAATTGCAGTTCCTTCTCCTTCATTTAAGGTATGTCATGGTAGCAGAATATATTCAAAAGAGAATCAAGCACGTTGTATTTATTGTCAGCTGCACAATTCCAAGGCTATCACTCAGCGAAAATGTCCTGACTGTCCCTTGATGCCAGCTCTTTGCCAGACTGTAGAAAGAGATTGCCATGCAGAGTGGCATAGTGATACATTTGCAAGGATCAGAGAGCTATGGTATGAAAAAAATTTGCCAGAAACTGCAGCTAAAACAAGCAAGAGGGGTCGTCCTAAAGGCAGCATATACCGACGTCGACGTAGAGGATGTTACCGTTCAAAAACATAAGAGAACGAAATGATTTTATCTATACATCAAGTATCAATGTAATGCTTATTGTTTGATCTTTTGTTTGATACCATTAGAAGTATTCATTTATGTTTAAAAATTGAGATAAATATTTTTTAAAATTAAAAAATTGATATTTTTATTATTTATTCCTGCATGCTGCAGTTATTCTTATTTATAACTATATCACGTGATTCTCCATTTCTTGCTGAGTCAGCAGATATGCAGCATTAGCTAGATGGCCTCCTAAAAAGCTAAATAAAAAATATAAAGAAAAATAAGTGAGAACACACGCAAACACAGACTGAAGCAGAGGGTTAATTTTGTTGCACTAACTACACTTGAGTAGGTTGGTACGAAACTGTATTTATTTTTCTTCCATAAAGCTGAATTTAACTTTGTGGTGACTGATCATGTTAGGGCCTTTTCTCCTAATCATAAATACATATTTTGTAATATTTTTATGTCAATAAATTAGACTAAATTAGTAATACATATTTTTGTAGCTCTACATACCACTAGACTTACAAGAGCAAGATAGACCCAGCTCAAGGATGTTCTGCCAAGTAACACTTCTGTATCCAGTCTAAATCAACCTTTCTTTACTTTAGGTTGATGTACCATTATCTATCCTGATTTTTAAAACAATGTTTGTTTCATTTCATTAACAAGGCAAAAATGACCATAATTTGTTTACCCATGCTGGCATCCATAGGGTCCGCAACTCAAAGTATTGAAGTCCTCTTAGAAATTCTTTTGGTAGTA